CATACTCTACATGGACATTTGCTACCAAAGAGAAAATTGATTCATCTGAACTACACAATTACCATCAGTTTCGTTCCCAGTTTTGAAATACCCGGTGGACTTCGAAGTGGTAAAATTACTTTGCGTTGTCAGTTGGGTAAATTAAAGCGGGATTTAACCACGACAATTTCAAATCGCACTGAACCGGAAGAACCCATCACTATGGTACCTTCAGTTCCGGAGGTTGGGAAAGCGATGCATTTCACATGTCAATTCGATAACCTCCAAATGAATTCACCTCAGGCCGCTTTGCATCGATTAGTACGGACGTCGTGGCTTAATTATGACATCACTGTGAGTTATGTGCAATTGCTAACACGCCGTCGACGCAAGTGGATTCGGACACCGGATCGTCAGTTACGCATGAATGGAATGGGATTGTGGGGATCCAACTCGCTTGGTCGAACAACAATGTTGACAACCAACACATCGAGCAATGCCGCTGTTGGTTTCACAATTGCCAAGGCAAAAGTAAGTGCACCAAAGTTTCAAGTGGAATAAGGTTAAACTCAAAGTCAAAGTTTTTTTTATGGAAATAACTTACAAGCTTCTCTTGTCCCATAGGATATTTACACAGATGAATCGTTACACATCGAAAAAGGAGTCGCATAGAGATCCGGGTAGGAGATAGAGAATGTAGGCTACAGTGAATTTCCGTTTGCCTTTAGTGTACGTATGTGAGGTGTGCCAAGGTTTCGTCGAGTCTCTGCTTGAAAGATTCAATAGTGGGTGCACAAAAGACATGAGATGGAAGGGCGTTCCAAAAACTGCATACTCTGACTGCAAAAGATTGGCGCCGACCTTCCAATCGACACTTTGGAATCAGTAGCTTGGAACGGTGTCCCCTTAGATGTACATTGTTCGATAACATGGATGAGCAGCGATCGACACGGATGATTTGGGTTCTTCAGTATTTGATACGTCAAAATCAAGTCTCCTCGAGTTCGGCGGTACTGAGCAGAATATAGTCCTAATGATCGCAATTTGTCTTCGTATGTCAGGTAATGCAATTCCTTGACCATCTTGGTGGCCATCCTTTGTGAACGCTCAGACATCTTGCGATCACGTTGCAGCCATGGACTCCAAGCTTGGATGGCGTACTCTGTGTAGGGTCGAATGTACACTGATAGAAAACGTGGAAAAAGTAATGATTCAAAGCGGCTAAAGACTGGCCGAAGTAAGCCGATATTCTTCACAGCAGCGGACGAAGCCTTAGCACAATTGATGGAGCAGCTTAAATCCTCTTAAACAACAATACCCGAGTCCTTTTCACTGGATGTGTGTGATAGTTGCTGATCCCCGAGGAAATACGAGACTTTTCGCTTCTGGCGTAAGGATAGGACTTTGCATTTAGAAACATTAAATTCAATGTTGTTCTCCTTAGACCATTGACAACCTGCGTTGAGTGATTCTTGAAGTGTTAGAGATCCCTCTAGTTCTGTTACCGTGTTCCAGATTTTGGCGTCGTCTGCGAACAGCATTGTTTTGGAGCCTAAAACTTTCGGTAGATCATTTACGAAGGTGAGGAACAGACGGGGACCGTGTATGGACCCTTGTGGAACACCGCGGGTGACTTTGATAGATCCGGGTGTGGAATCAGAAACACGAACTGATATTGACCGTTGTTCGAGGAATACTTTAATCCAATCAAACACGAAATTTCGAACTCTGTAATTGTAGAGCTTCGGCAGCAAAATGTTGTGATTCACCCGATCAAATGCCTTCGAGAAGTCGAGATAAATCACGTTCACCGCATCCTCTTCGTCGACTGTACTGGTCCACTCATCTTGAACAAGAAGCAGGTTGGTGGAGCAGGATCGCTTTTGTGTTGAGCTGCCGAGAGAATGTTGTATCTTTCGAGATGTTCCATCAGAGAATCTGCCACAATTGACTCCATGACTTTCGATAACACCGGAAGCAGGGCTACAGGTCGGTAGTTAGCGGGGTCACTACAACAACCACCTTTGTATATGGGCGAAATCACTCCTTGTTTCCACGATTCGGTGAGTGTTGCTTGGTCGAACATTCGTTGAAACAGAATGGCTAGCGGTTCGGATGTGTGATTTGCCAAAAAGATCAGAGATTTCGGGTGTTTGTTATCCGCACCCGGGGTTTCATTTCTTCGCAAAGCCATCAGTTTCGCTTTGATGTTTTCAGTAGTAAATGAAACGTAGGTCAGTGAAGGATGTGGAAGATGATGCAACTGGTGGGGTAGTTGTAAACCTTCAATCTGCGGTGCTGCAAAAACGTCGGAATACTGAGTTTTCGGCATTTTAGCTGCTTCCGTTGGAGTGGTTGCAACTCTTTTAGCGCTACTTAGTACCGGTATACCAAACTTTACTCTCCCAATGGATTTGGCGTGTTTGTACAACAGCTTAGGGTTAGAAATGAATCTTTGTGCCAGCGCCTCTTGGTATTTCAGTTTATCCTCACGAATCAGCCTGGTGCAGTGGTTCCTCAACAGCATTCGGAAGACGATTATAATATCGCCAGGACAAGTCCCTCGTCAATAGACATTTCCTTGTGCGACTTTGAATAGGTGAATTTCGGATGCCGGATTTGGTGATTACTCTAGTTTTAGTCACGGATGTTATTATAAGTTGTGAGATTATCAATAAATTTCTTCCAGGCTACCAACGGGTTAGACTCTTCGTCACAAGAAACCCACTGAGTAGAGAGCGCCAAGTTATTCAACAGTGTGTAGTCTATGGATCTGCGTGTGTTACCAGAGGAACTTCCTTGAATCGAAGCGTAACAAACATATTTGAATGTAAGTACTGCATGATCGCTGCGTCCAAGGGGGGAATTCACATTGACAGACTCTACTCAGCTCGTCATTGGTCAACACTTAATCCAGTATGGACGGCGACTGTAGGTTTCCAAACCTAGTGGCCACCTTCACATGGTTGTATAGTGGATGCGAGTCAATCAGCCGTTTGAATTGAATGTTCGAAAAATGGACAGACGGTAGCTGACTTATTGAGATTGGGGCAGTTGAAATCACTCATAAGGAGAACATGGATAGATTTTTGTATAAGAATGTGACATAGTTAGTCTCCAGGGATGATGGGGGTCGATAGACTACACCAATCAAACAATCCATGTTTGGACAACTTCAACCTGCACCACAGAGTGTCCGGTGTCGAAACGGGAGGGTAGATTTGCTCCCAATCACGACTGCTTCGGTAGTAGAGTAAAACACTACCACCACGGGTAGGACGATCTCTTCTGAGTAGAGACATCTTCGATAAAGACAATTCGGAGTCCGAAATATCAGCTGTGAGCCAAGTCTCTGTAACAGTAATAATATCCCACAGACTAGATATAAAACGTAAATTCAACTCTGGAAATTTGCCGAGGAGTCCTTGAGTATTGGAGTAGAAACAGTTTAGATACTGTCGGTGTAGAAATCCGCTTGGGTAGGGAGTGGTATTTCGGCCGACCCCTTCGCGGCCGGTTACCATTAGTTTTTAGGTAGAGAAGCTCTGGTACTTTGGACCACGGGTTGCGTGACGGAGTTCGGTACTTGCATGGAGTGATCTGTTGCATCACAAGGGTTCTCCAGATTTGGGCGTGCTTTGAGCCCGGGATTGAATAGGGGTCTTACACGTAGTTTCGGAGACTCTCTGTTCTTTCTTTCTCATCATAATTGTAAGACTGTTCGCCATTTCTGGAGTTCCAAGGGTAACTTTCATTATCCTCGGACCGTTACCACGGTAATGTGGTGAACAGGGAAGACGACTGATTGAGGTTGTGAGTAGGTCGCCACAATCAATCAGATTTTGAATGAATCACCATTCTCTTCGGTCGTTCTGATAACCTTTTGATTCATCCGGATCATCCAACTGCGGGATACCATGGATGAGGACGACCCTCTTATTTTCCTCCACTCGTGCTCTGATTGGATCGGACAGGTGTTGCATTCGTTCCGTCCATGGCCTATCAGGGAAGATTCTTATTGGGCAGGAACTCTTTCTAAGAAGGTGACTAGAAAGAAGAACGTCCTCCAGGTCCTTATCATCTTTCAGGGTCATCCGGAGCAGTCTGGGCATGTGACGAAGTCGGCTGGCACATGAGTCTTATGAAGCCGACCCATCTGCGCGCACAAACCCTTCCCTTACTAGTATAGTGGTGACAAATAATGTGTGCCTAGCTATAAACCACCGATATCGTTTGGATGTGAAACCATTTCACCTTGCCCAAATCAAGATCCCTTTGTTTCGACGGAAATTGTATTGAATCCATGCATAACAGTTATTCCAGTGGATGACACGTATCCACCACATCATTGAAAACTTCGGAAATCAGCAAACTGCCGCATTCGATCACAATCCAGAATGTTATGTAATTTTATTTTTCTCCTTCTTTCCTTGTTATCTTTTAAACTTGAAAACATTTACCATACAAAGTATTTTATCGTTGTCTCAGTCAAAGTTTGATTATGGGAAGTACTTACAATCTCATGCTTCCCATAGGATATTTGTACAGTTGAATGGTTTCACGGCAATGTCTGCCGGGTGAAAAACAAGAACACCGTCAAAAATCGATTCACCAATATGAGATCAGTCCTCATTTATTTCACTTTTTGTGCAATTTAGGTCGTCATAGGTGTCGAACCGACAGAAAAATGCAAGATTCCTTTTTTAACCGCGTCCCACTTGGTTGGAGTAGCAGGTATCTCAATAACTAAAAGTCACTGTCCCTTCTGCCTGTTTCGTTGTGCAGGAATTTGATGTCGGAACGTACTTCTGTACATCGTTTACACAAAACAAAACACAGCTTCAAGCAAATCAGTTCACGAAGTTGGTATACGGAAAGGACAAAAAGGTTACAATTGCGTACAAATCCATAGCAAACTCGGAGGTTTGGCTCAGTCATTCGGTTTCCATTCAACCAGGTGACCTGATACATTTCCGATGTGTACTTTGGTCGACCAATCCATCGAATCGCGAGGCTAAAAGTTTCAAAATTAGACCAGAGACAGATTCTGCCGTTAACAATCGCACAACCTATATCTCTCCATATCCGAGCAGTATGATTTTGCGTGTTATCGATGAATACAGCAAAGCGTCGGAAGTTGGCGAATTGACTCAACGTTCTTGCAGTTATAAAGACCATTCTGGAACATTCGGAAAGGAATTGCGCCGTATAAAAGTGGAGTGTAAACAACCGAGAATCACTTGGGAACCACAGAACAAAGAGAGCTATACATTTTCCGATATAATCACTTGTCAAGTTGCATCAGGGTGTGATAAAGCTAAGATAGAATGGACGTGGGTAGCCGGACCAATTCCACAATTAACAATAGAAAGTGATCGAGTTCCGACAGAGCGGATTGGTCAAAATGGAGAAAAACTTGTTCTTTCTTTACTGCCCAGAGGAGGGAATTATTTGTTTCGTTGCACAGCATCTTGTTCCTGTAAACAGCGAACCATAACTAACTCGGCGCAAATATCCATTTTGGTTGGATCTGATTCCATTCCATCTCAATCAGACATGATGGACGATGCACTGGGTTTGGGAGGTATATCTCAACTGGACGGACTGAGAAAAAAACAACTGGACTTATTAGGCGCATCTAAAGCAGATCAGATTGGCGATGAAGTGCTGGATCCGTCATCAATGGAAGCTAGACGGCGACTACTCGACGCACAGTCCGGTGCAGGACTCATGGGAGGTGGTGACTCACTAGATCTGGCATCACTAGAAGCTAGACGGCGACTACTCGACGCACAGTCCGGTGCAGGACTCATGGGAGGTGGTGACTCACTAGATCTGGCATCACTAGAAGCTAGACGGCGACTACTCGACGCACAGTCCGGTGCAGGACTCATGGGAGGTGGTGACTCACTAGATCTGGCATCACTAGAAGCTAGACGGCGACTACTCGACGCACAGTCCGGT